CATTCCTGCCCTTTCCGGTTCTAAATTCTCTCTTTCCTCTTCCACCCGAGGCGCTGCTCTAACTAGCTCTCCCGAAAGCTCTAGTGGGAAACGGGATTCGAGGCTGATCGTGGGAGGGGCTGCTCCAGTCAGGTCAAAGGGCACCGATAGGTGGAACACTTGCTAGGAGTTGGAGGGAGCAGAGCGGGGTCTCCCCAGAGGAAAAAATGAAGACCAAGATATAGGGAGCCCTTAGGGGCCTTGCAGAGGGCAATTTGAGCATAAGGTTTCTTGGATCATGCCCAAGAAAGGGTAGTCTCAAGGGGTCCCAAGCCTCACCTGGCGGGAGAAACAAGCAGGGCTTCTGCGGGCCTCTGCTGGGCCAGGCTGACCAGAGGACTGTGTGGGCAGGAAGTGTGGGAGAGGCAGTTAATGATTGTTGTCCACCTCTGCAAGGATGCCAGGGGTCAGTCTGATAAGAGGAAAGAAACAGACTTCTTGAGTTTTACACTCTGATAGCTGCCTTATCTAGCCGGCCCACAAATCCGACAGTCCGTCGTGGGCCTGCTGGCACTCTGTCACCTCATCTCCCTGAAGCGCACAGCCCTGGCTGAAGCCCAGCTAGGTTTCCCCTGCCTGGCCGCCGGCTCCCTTTCTCATCTGTGGTCAGATGAGGTCTGCGCTGGGGGAGACCAGCAAGACTGAGCAGATTCTGAGCCCGACCCAGGGGTTAGAAGCCACCCCAGGAGTGGGGCCAGGCTCTGGGCTGAGGAGGGACTCCCAGACCTTGCCGTTCTATGTTGGTCTGAGGTATGCTGCTCTCAACCAACGAGACCTGGGGCCACAGGGGTCTTTGGGGAGTCCCGTCTTCACCCAGAGCCTGGGGAGATCTGGCTGTTTTCCTCCGAGGAGTTGGAGTAGGGCTGATGGGATCTGCATTGCTGAAGAACCCTTTGGCTTTGCTGTGGAGGAGTTGGAGGGGTCTCTGGTAGCTCTGAGGCACAGGACTTAGGAAGCTCCTGTAGGTGAAGGGTGACAGTCCCTTGAATAGAATGAGGTTGCAGATGTGGAAGAGAAGTTGCAAGATCGGAGAGATGTAGGTGGTCAGTCGGGCTTTGTAATAGGTGGTCTGAATGAGGTGGTAGGAGGAAGGGCTCACAGGTGGTTCTTAGGTTTCAGATTTAGATTTTCAGAATGGCAGGCCCTTTCCCAGAAGTGAGGAAAACAAAGAGAACTGGGGTTGTGAAGCTTAGAGCATGCGTGAGTTTGGTTTGAGGCAGGTTGAGTTTGAAATCCTTTCGGGTAAAGCATTTGAGGGGTAGTGTCTAGAAGCTGGGGGCAAAGATGGTGTTGGGGGGAGTGTCTGGCATCATTTGAAAAGCCAGAGGTGACTCTTCCAGACCGAGAGACAGTTTGGGAAAGCCCTTCCTCCTCACCCGGGGTCGTGTTCTCTTTCTCTGACCACCTCAGGGCATGGCGGGACAGCAGACGGCACAGCACCCTCCCCTGCCCAGGACTCC